TCTTTGTGTATGGTGTTAGGAAGTGTTCTAATTTCATTCTTTTACATGTAGCTGTCCAGTTTTCCTGGTACCATTTATTGAAGAGGCTGTCGTTGCCCCATTGTATATTCCTGCCTCCTTTGTCAAAAATATGGTACCCATAGGTGCATGGGTTTATTTCTGGGCTTTCTATCTTGCTCCATCGGTCTATATTTCTGTTTTTGTGCCAGCACCATACTGTTCTGATGACTGTAGCTTTGTCGTATAATCTGAAGTCAGGAAGGTGGATTCCTCCAGCTCCATTCTTCTTTCTCAAGATTGGTTTGCTCTTCGAGGTCTTTTGTTTCCATGTGAATTGTGAAGTTTTTTGTTCTGGTTCTGTGAAAAATACCATTGGTAATTTAACAGGTGTCATGTTGAATCTGTAGATTGCATTTGGTAGTATAGTCATGTTCATAATATTGATTCTTCCAACCCAGAGATGTGGAATCTCTCTCCATCTGTGTATGTCGTCTTTGATTTCTTTAATCAGTGTCATAATTTTCTGTGTACAGTTCTTTTGTCTCCTTAGGTGAGTTTATTCCTAGATATTTAGTTCTTTTTGTTGCATTGGTGAATGGAATTGATTCCTTAATTTTTCTGATTTTGCATTGTTAGTATATAGAAATGCAAGTGATTTCTGTGTATTGATTTTTCTATCCTGAAACTGCTAAATTCACTGATTAGCTCTAGTAATTTTCTGATACTATCTTTAGAGTTTTCTATGTACAGTATCATGTCCTCTGCAAACAGTGAGAGGTTTAATTCTTCTTTTCCAACCTGGATTCCTTTCATTTCTTTTTCTTCTCTGATTGCCATAGCTAGGACTTCCCAAAACTGTGTAGAATAATAGTGGTGAGATTGGGCACCCTTGTATTGTTCCTGATCTTAGAGGGAATGCTTTCATTTTTTCACCATTGAGAATAATGTTTGCCGTGGGTTTATATATGGCCTTTACTATGTTGAGGTAGGTTCCTTCTGTGCCCATTTTTTGAAGAGTTTTTATCATAAATGTGTGCTGAATTTTGTCAAAGGTTTTTTCCTGCATCTATTGAGGTAATCATATCCTATCTTTCAAATTGTTATGGTGTATCACATCGATTTTGCATATATTGAAGAATCCTTGCATCCTTCAGATAAACCCAAACTGATGATGGTGTATGAGGTTTTTAATGTGTTGTTGGAATCTGTTTGTTAGGATTTTGTTGAGGATTTTTGCATCTGTGCTCATCAGTGGTACTGGCCTCTAACTTTTTCTGTGTTGTCTCTGTCTGACCTTCTCTGTATTTTTCATTTCAGTTGCTGTGTTGTACAGCTTTTTGTTGGTTACATTTTCTAGGTCTCTGTTAAGCATGTTGTGTATGTTATTGGTCTGTTCTTCCGTTCCTTTTCTGAAATCTTGGACCATCTCGAGTACCATTACTCTGAATTGTTTTTCAGACAGATTGCCTCTCTCTACCCCACTTAGTTATTTTTCTGGGGTTTCATCTTGTTCCTTTGTCTGAGACATATTTTTCTGCCATCTTATTTTTGCCCACATATCTGGGTTTGTGGTTGCCGTTTCCCAAGGCAGAACTGGAAGTCTTGGCTCTGGTGTCTGCCCTGTGGTGGGGGAGGTTGGTTCAGGGTCTTCTGCAGCCTTCCTGGTGGGAGGGGCGGGAGGCTGCCCTGGGAGGACGTGTCAAGGGTTGTGTTGGGCAGTTGCGGTTTCAGGACGGCTTTCGGCAGCCTGTCTGCTGCTGGGTGGGGCTGTCCTCTTGCTCATTATTTGGCCTGGGGTGTCCCAGCGCTGGAACCCGCTGCGTAGACCAGGTCTCAATGCCAGACGGTGACCTCTGGGGCGTTTGCTCCGATGGGTGTTCCAGGTCCCTCTGCCACCCATGTCCTTGTGCCCAGAGTGAGCCTCAGCCGCCCCCGCGTCTCCCCGAGACCCCCTGGAGCAGCAGGCGGGTCTGGTCCACGCTCCTGTGGCCTCTGCTTTGCTGGGTCAGTGCCTGGGAGCCCTTGTGCACCCTCCGCGAGTGGAGTCCCCAGTCCCCCCAGTCCTGTGGACTCCTGCACTCAAGCCCCGCTGGCCTTCAAAGCCAGGTGCTCCGGGGGCGGCTCCTCCCAGCGCCAGACCGCGGGCTGGGGCGCGGACGTGGGACGCAGGACTCTGACTGTTGTGAGAGAATCTGTGATCGTCCTCCAGCGTCCGGGTCGCTGCCCCTCCCGCAGCAGGCGTGGGATTCGACTGCACTGAGGAAGTGCCGCTCCTGGCCGGCGCTGCGGCTGCCGCTCTGCCTGGAAGCGCGGAGGGTGTCAGTAGGTCCAGTCTTGCAGCCGATGCTTGTGCGCAGTTAGCTGTGACTTTGGTGTTTCCGTGAGCGGAGGTGAGCCCGGGCCCCTTCTGCTCTGCTGGCGCTTCCGTAGCTGCCAGGCGCAGGGCCCCGGGGACAGGGAGCTGCGGGCCGAGTCGGCGGCCCGACGCCGGGCGCTCCTAGTGTCCTGTTCACCTCGCCTGACGTGCCTCCCCGGGCGCTCTGAAGGCGGCTCCCCCAGCGCTGACCTCAGGCAGCCCCGCGCGGCAGGTCTCCCGGGCGGCCGCTGTCCCCAGGCTGGCCGGCCCCTCCTGTGTGCCGCGGCCTCATCTCAGCGCAGCCCCCGGGAGTTAAGACACTCCGGTCAGGACCTGCCCTTGATGGCCGGGCAGTCAATGCAGGGAACATGGCAGTGAACATGTGTTTTCTTTGCCAAAACACTTAGAAACCCCTGGACTTCATACGCCCCTCGCAGGGGGTTAGCAGGTGGGAGAGGTTCCTCAGTAAGTGGGTGGATGTTCGCTCCTCCCCGCCGTGTGGTGCGCTGCTGAGGGGACAGCCGGGGCGTTCTCCGCCAAAGCTCGTCTCGGGTGCTGGGGGCCCCCGGAAGCCCCGAGAGCAGCGCCGCGTGAAGAGAGCAGGCGGGAGGGGTCGGGTTCGCGCACTCCCACGGCCGCGGCGGTCCCTGCCCCGGGGCAGAGAGAGGCCAGACACGACTGTGAGCCCCCGTTCCCGCGGCTCGGACGGGCGGAGGGAGCCCTGGGGTGAAGGTCCAGGCAGCCGTGTCACATGGGGTGGGTGCATCCCGCCGTGATCCCCGGGTGTGCGCACGACCCGCAGCAAGTGTGCTGTCCGTTGTCTGTGACGCCACCCCAGACTGAGCCCCTGAGGACAGACTCGTCCCGCAGTCCCTGCTGTCGGGAGCTCACGGCGGAGCTCTGGGGGGTGGCCGTGGGCACTTGGGGGCTGCCTCATCTGCAGGCCTGACCCTGCCGGCCGCTTCCAGGCTGGCTCATCACTTGCCCGGAGCTGCAGCCGCTGCTGAGCAGAGGGTGGGGCTGCTGGCGCCCCGGCAGCCGCCTCCCAGGACGGGCTTCAGGGGGGCGGCGAGGAGGGGCCCCCACGCCTTCCATGGCCTTGTCACAGGCCGGCTGTCCCCTGCGCCCTGTCTCAGGGGCAGGTCACCGGGGGGACCTGGGGCGGGAGAGCTGGGGTGGAGGGGCGCGGACAGGCCACCTGCCCACCCCCAGGGCCCTGCTCGGCGCCCCGAGGAGGGTGGCCCACGTGTGGGCGGTGTGCCCCCTGCAGAAACCTCTGGGGCAGGCCCCTCCACGGCAGGCTGGCCTGGCGGGGGCTGCACCCTCAAGAGGGGCTGGGTGTGCCGCCGGGGCTGTCGTGGGACGAGCCGGGGCTCCGGGCTGTGTCTCCGGGGCGCACGCCCTCCCTCGGTCCGCGTTCTCCCCTCCCGACGCCCGCTCTACTTGGTCAGCCGTGTCGGGCTCCCAGGGGAGAGAGGCCACAGGACAGAGTAGAATCACTGCATCAGAACCCGCTTGTTGTCTGGCCTGAGGAGTGAGGCCCTGCAGGGTGGAGCCGGCCCCGGGGCGCTGCGTCTGGACGAGGGTTTCGGGGGAGCCTTGGGCGGCTTGCGGACTCGGGGGGCTCTTGTGCGCGGCAGCTGCAGAGGCTCGTCTGGCGCCTGTTGGTCCCACGGGAAGCGAGGGTAGAGGCCCTGCGGCGGAGCTTCTGTGGACGCGGCGGCCCCTCCCACCGGGCCCCCCCTCGGCCGGCGCCTCACCTCCTGGGGCTTCCTCGGGAACGAAGGCCCGTCCGTGACGTCAGGGTCCCTCTGCGCTCTGACAGAGGGGCAGCTTCAGGCTGCCTTGGCCCCCAAGATGCAGGGGCCCCGGCCAGGAACCCGGAGGTGGGAGTGCGGTGCTCCGCTGACCACGCCTGTCTGAGCAGTGCCTCCGGTGGTGTGACGGGGGCGCCGCGCTCTGTCTCCAGGCCGCCAGCTGCCGCTCCCAGGGTGGCTGCTTCTCCAGGAGACCCCGCCAGGCCGAGCCCCCTCCCGGCCCTGGGCCTGCCCTGCTGCCCCTCGCTGGCTCAGCCTGCCCCCTGGGGTCAGGGTCTCCGGGGCGGGGGACCAGCCCCAGCTCAGCCCAGCCTTCTGAGCCCCCGAGCCCCTGGTCTGTAAGGAGCGTTCTCAGCCCGCCAGCTTGGCGGCTAGCGTAAGCGGAGAGCAGGTGGAGCGCTGGCTTTGCGCGAGGCGCTTCCTCAGTGTAAATGTTGGCCTTTTTCTTTCTTTTTTGGTAGACTAAGCTCTTTAAAAAAAAAAACTCTTCTTCCTCTTTTTATCCCCAACACCTGGCACAGTGCCTGGGACATAAGTAGGTACTCAGTAAAATGTTTACTTGAGTCAAATGAATCACTTTTAACATAAACAGATATTTCTCAAAATTTCTCGTGTCCTATTTATTATCCCCTAAATAAGGTTTCGCCCTTGTTTTGACATGTGTGGTCTTTTGGAGGAAGAGCTGGAGCAGCGTTCACACCCAAGTGGGGTGGGGGTTGCTCGTCCACTCCGGAGCCCTTGGAACCTTCCTGGGATTCTCTCCCTGGGTCCCCAGGGAGGTCGTAGGGCCAGGCCGTTTTGATGATCCAGACATGGTTTCCTCCCAGATTCTCAGAATCTGCACCAGGTACACCCCAGAGCAGGACACCATGACGTTTTCGGACGGCCTGACGCTGAATCGGACCCAGATGCACAACGCCGGCTTTGGCCCTCTGACCGACCTAGTGTTCACCTTCGCCGGCCAGCTCCTGCCGCTGGAGATGGACGACACGGAGACCGGCCTTCTCAGCGCCATCTGCCTGATCTGTGGAGGTACCACCACCCAGAGCACCCTCGCGAGAGCCCATGCAGAGCACTCACACTCGTAAATTATGGGAGATTCTTCACCTCCACTTGGGAGTTATTTTGCATGGAAAAGGACATGTGGATAAAACTAGGCATGCATGCTTAGAGTTTGTTGCATTTTTCCATATTATTATAAGTTAGAGGCATTTGGGGTTTTCCTGCTCTGAAATACCAGAATGCTTCTGCATTGCCACAGCTGCTGTTTGAAAGGTAGGATCAGACCCTCTTAGCGTGACTTGCCTGGGGACATTCTGAGGATGAGTCAGGGAGCCTGCTGGTGCTGCTTGCAGGGCGGGGGCTGGGGGTTGGAGGCCTGGCGTGATGCCCTCGCCGGCCCACAGGAGCCCGAAACAGGGTGGTTGAGGAGCTGCTGCCTTTCACTGGGGGCTGGTTTACCTGCATTTTAACCATCCAGGTCAGGTCCCCTTTAATTCAGTTCAGTAGTGACACCTCCTGGTCACGAGCAGTAATTCTCTGCTGGGGATAAAAGCCACCAGCCTTCCAAATGTGGTTTGACCAAGGACAGTCATTTTCAAGTATCACAGCTTAAAACAGGGGCGTGTGTATGCTCAGTCACGTCCAACTCTTCTGTGACCCCTTGAACTCTATCCTGCCAGGCTCCTCTGTCCATGGGATTCTCCAGGCAAGAATCCTGGACTGGGTTGCCATTTCCTCCTCCAGGGGATCTTCCAGACCCAGGGATGGAACCCGTGTCTCCTGCGTTGGCAGGCAGGTGCTTTAGCACTGAGCCGCCAGGGAAGCCCAGATCAGCCGCGCTCACACACCTTTCAAACGTGTTTATGGGGTCGAGTCACCAGATTATACGGGGAGGCGTGGGCGTGGGCAGGGCTCGTTCTGTCCTGACCTCAATTGTTTAATACCTTGCTTCTGGAATCTAGACCGCCAGGACCTTGAGGAACCAACAAAAGTAGATAAGCTACAAGAACCACTGCTGGAAGCACTGAAAATTTACATCAGAAAGAGACGGCCCAGCAAGCCTCACATGTTCCCAAAGATCCTGATGAAGATCACAGACCTCCGCAGCATCAGCGCGAAAGGTACGGCCCGTCCGCCGCACCCAGCGTTTTTAGAAACCCTGGGTTTTAATACTGGGCGTTTGACAGTAGGTACCTTTCTGTTATCACTTTGGAATTCATTTTTCATTCAAGTCAAATGGAAGGGTGCCTCCTCTTAAACCTCATACCTTAGCCCACGCAGTGATTTTAGCAGATTATGAGAATAGCTTTACAGTTTCATGTGACTTAAGTGATTAGAAAAAGCATTTCCAAGAGAACATACTGAATACCGGATGACTGGCTTTGTCATTTACTCGTTGCATACGTTTCATTCCAGCTTTCCGCACACACTCCGGTTTGTTTACACTTAATCCCAGTTTTTCCTGGTCACCCAAACCCCAAGAAGAAATGAGTGGTGCTTCAGGTGCCCATTGGGGTCATGTCTGTCTGTCAGGCTGGCCACCCCCCTTGGGGCACAGGCGGGTGCGCTTGTGCACCCCTGAGAAAGGGGCGTTTTCTCCCCGGAGAGCTGTGACTGTTCCTGCCTAGCGATTCCAGTCTGTACGGCAGCTGGGGCGGTTGCAGGCGTGCATGGAGCTGCAGGGCGGGCTTGCCGCTTCTCCTGCCCTGGGGGCCAATGAGCAGGGGGCGGGTCACGTTTCAGAAGGTGCTCAGCAGCCCAGCACTCGCATCTGACCAGAAGTTTGGGCCCCCGCGCCCTTCTCGGAGGCCTGGGAGGACTCCAGCGCCAACTGCAGGCGTGCTGAGGGCTTGGACTTGAAAGCTGAGGGCCCTGCCACCGCTCCCCGCTCGCCCGGCAGTGCTCACGCGTCGTCCACACGTGGGGCTCAGGCGCTTGCGACGCGGTCAGTGCCACTGAGGCAGTTTTCCGGGTGGTAGTTAGCGTGAGGGATTTTACCCGTGTCTCCTGCCTTGCAGGCAGATTCTTTACCGAAGCCCTGCAGTGTCCGCCTGGGGCTGCTGGCGGTCTCAGGGGGCCCCTCAGGTCCTGGCCCCGCTCCTGGGCAACTGCTGTCCTTTCGCTGGCTCTCTTCGAGAGATGCTTCCAGTCTCTCAGCAGGAGCTGAGTAAACACACCCCCGTATTGTTTCTCAGAACTGGCTGAGTCTGGAGTCCATCACGTGTCCCGTCCTCCCGTCTCCGCTGCTGCCCACAGAGGGAGCAGCAGTGTCTGAGAGGCGCCCCGAGCTCCCCCACCATGAGCGGCTGAGGGCGGACCCGGGCATCCCTCTGTCTACCGGCTTCTGTTCTCTTTCTAAAAGGTGCGGAGCGTGTAATTACCTTGAAGATGGAAATCCCTGGCTCGATGCCGCCGCTCATTCAGGAAATGCTGGAGAACTCTGAAGGACACGAGCCCTTGACCCCCAGCTCCAGCGGGCACACGGCAGAGCCCAGCCCCAGCGTCTCCCCCAGCTCCCTGGAGCCCAGCGGCGTCGGCCAGTCCCCGCTGCTGCAGTGAGACACTTTCTAGCTACTCCAGCGTTCCCCAGTACCTTCACTCCTGGGATTTAAGATGCAAGGAAGAAACATTTTTACTGCTGCTTAGTTTTTGGACTGAAAATATATTAAAACTCAAGAAGGACCAAGAAGTTTTCGTATGTATCAGTATATACCCCTCACTGTCTAACTTACCTAGAAGTACAAACTTTTTAAATTCTAAAAATCAGCCATTTCATGCAACCCAAAACGAGTTAAAAGCTTCTGTTTTCCTCTTTGAACACGCGAGATTGCATGGCAAAGACCCAGTCCCCACGGTACACCCTGGCCGTGTTTCCGAAGACTCTGTACATACAGCGGCGCGGCTCTACGCCTTCCGTGTCCCACTCCAGGGAACCAAGGCCCACGGTCGTGGAGCGGATTACTGTGCGTGTCCAGTTAAGGGAGGGTCAAAAGGATAAGTGTTTTGCTTTCACAGAACAATCAAGACATCCAGGTAAGGAAGTGGAGTATTGTAGTGTGATGAGATAAGGCTAAAGATACTCTAATTCAGTTAGTGTAGACGCTTGTCCTTGCTCTCCGATGCTCTCAAACTGCGTCTCTCATTTCCTGTTGCCCAGTAAATGTATCCAGATTCACTGCGCGAGCAGAAGACTTCTCTATCAGTGTAACTGCCAGTTCAGTTATCAAACGTCATTTGTTCAATTGTTGATGTCACTTTAAATTAAAAATGGTTTAATACTTGTTTAATGACATAACTACACAATTTTTTTAAAAAGATACATTTTTACAGTGATAGCCTCCAAGGCAGCAACACTATTCAGTGTTAGTAAGTTTTTGTTTACCTGTTCACAAGCCATCACGGAGGTTCCATGGGGTGACGACGGGCCGGCCTGCCACCTGCGCCAGGTAACTCTGTGTCCTGAGAGGGAAGGGCTGACCCCCCAAGTCACAGGCGGACAGTCTGCATCCGCTGGCCTGGTTCAGCCGCTATGAAGCAGGGTGGAGTGGTTAACAGATACAAGTGTCAGTTTCTTAGGTCTCATTTAAGCACTAGTGGAATTTTTTTTTTTTTTTGATATATTAGGAAGTCTGTGATGTACTTTCACTGGCTCTGTTTGTACATTGAGATTGTTTAACAGTGCTTTCTATGTTCATATACTGTTTACCTTTTTCCATGGAGTCTCCTGGCAAAGAATAAAATATATTTATTTTAAAGGTGTATGGGAGATTTTACTGCACATTCATCTTAGTCAAGAGACAGAGAACACAGTTCCATTTTTAATGTTTAAATTTCATTTCAAAAAGCAGGTCTGTAATCTGCAATCATGACAATTAAAATCTGTGCTAATGCACAAGTCTATAACAATTCTACAAGCCAATCAGACAGTACATGACATTTCAATGAGTAAAAAAGAGCATAAAACTGTATGTGTAAGAACAAAATGTTAAAAGGCCTACCACAATAATAAAAAACCATCAATTACATCATCACATTAAAATAAGCCAGATGTACAAAAGTCTGAGACAGAAAAGACAAAAGGACAACACAAGTTATCTGCTGAGAACTGTTTCTGTGCTCTGTGGGCACTTAATTAAACATTGCAAAATCAACATCTTCTTCCTCATCAGAGTCTGCAAAATATTTTACTTCCTTCCTCGCCCGGCCGGTCCGTGGCAGCGACGGCGGCTCGGCAGTGAGGTCTGAGGGGAAGAGGTCCACATCTGAGTCCTCGTCAAAAGAGGTTTTCTTCGGCTTCTGGGTTTGTTTTTTTTTTTTTTTTTTAAAAAAAAAAACAAAGTTAAAGATAGAAAAAGGACTAATTATTCCTTCACTTATTTGGGGACATACTGAAAATAATGGTTCTTGTAAGATCAGAACTATAATACTAAGTTACTTAAGTGTGAGGCCCATTACCTAATCCTCTATAATATTTACCAACATAAACTTATGTTACCCAGCAACTATGCACAGAAAAGTAAAAATTCAACTTACTGCTAAGTACCTATCAATTCATGAGAAGACAACAAGACTGCACAGTAGGTTGTACACAAGGTAAGTGTTTATAAAAACGCTGAGAACGGTCACCAGCAAGGACCACAGTCCTAGCAGACGACTGGGTGGAAAAGGTCAGTGTAAAGAACACCACACAGCTAAAGTTATCTGCGTTTTTAAGTTTTAAAAGGGGGGCATTTGATGTTATTAATTTACCCAAAAGAGACAGTGTACTTCTGGAGAAGGGTCAAACTAAAAATGAGTTCAAGTTAGAAAATCAAATTGGTCCTTGTCAAATCAAGTTGCAAAAAAGAAATAGCTTTTATTTGATCCTGAAAACTAGTATTTCAGTTAAGGCAGCATGTAACTTCTGCCATTGGAGGAAATGGAATACTCTTAAGTAGGCTAATTTATGTGACACTTGTATCTAAGAGATGGTCCTGATTATATACATTTTATACCTAGATAACTTTTTAACCATAAACAAGCCCCCTGTGGATAAGAGATGCTGGGTTAAAGCTATAACAAGACATCACAGTAATAAGCAAACTCAGCCAGTTACACATCATCTTAAAACCATACATTAAAAAGATGCTATTACCTTGCTGGGTGGTTTGGAGGTCTTCCTGCCAGGATTGTAATCACCTTCGTTTTCAGAGCCAGATGCTTTCCTTTTCTTTGCCCCTCGGCCTTTACCTTAAAATGATACAAAGCGGTTTTTCTCCCAAAATTAAGTACAGGATAAAAAGATAAATGCCAGAACACACTTTCCTTCTTGGGCATGCCCAACTGGCCCTGCAACCCTGATCTCTTAGTATGACTGATGCAGAAAAAGTCTGTCACCATCACTTTAGTCATGCCAACCCCAGAACATAAGAGTATTTCACAAATACATTTAAACTAATGGGAATGTCCTAGTGACAGATTTTAATGACCAAGCCCCCTAATACATAAAACATCTGCACATCCCGTGGTACCTGGACCTGAAACAAAAATCTTAACAGTATGTGGTGTTTTGTAAAAATCAGTTCCTAACTTGCCACAGACCAGTACTTTTAAAAGTATAATGTGAATCACTAGGAAAGATGATATATATGGTTTAAATGCTTCCTCTAAATTTTACTTATCGCACTAGTAACAACCAGTTGCATATCCCCTTTTAAGCAGCACAATCCTAAAGTATCACCCCAGCATTAGTCATGGGAGCACCTGTCAACTCTCCACATTCCTTCTCAGATTAGAATCACCCCCGTGTAGCCTAGTTTTTTTCGTCTACCTCATTCTCATTGGAGGAGGAAAGCGAAAAGGTAAAATATGAATGGTTACCAAATGTTCCTACAGTGAAGCCAGAGACAGAAAATGGCAACTCTAACTAAATTTTCTACAGTTCAGGAGTTATGGCTAGATTGTATGGTAAGGAAAGATTGCTAAATGGCCTTGGGACGGCACTGAATGGGTCCACTTCCCGTGCCCCTGTTTCTCCCCGGCCCCTGTTCCCCCTTGGGGCCAGGTATATCTATGTATCTCCTTACCCCAGCCACCACTTTAATAGACATGGTGACGGCAGTATCGTATCAGGTGGTGAAAGACGGAACAGCTACCCTTAGAGAAACCACGTCTTACATAGAAACCACCACTGATGACCACAGCTCCTCTTCCTGGAGAGGAATTGGTGCTGTGCCCGGGAGGGGCCCTGAGGACAGCTGTTTCCACTCCCGGATGAGGATGGGGCTCTGCCTGCCAGTCCTTGCTCCAGCCTCCTGCAAGGAGTCCCACACTTTAACAGGAGCCCTCACCCCTTTTAAGGAATGGCTTCCAGGGAGTCCCCTGCAGGGGGTCTTTGACCCATTCTCAGGTTGCAAGAGAGGTCTTTGTTTCACAAATCAAGAAATTGAGACTCAAACTGACTGGACCAAACTGCTACATACTTGCTTAGGATTCTAATTGAGCACTGATCCTTAGAACATTGTTTACTGAAGAGTAAAGCTACTTAAAACAGGTACCCAGTCTCTCTAAACTCATAATGAGTCAAGAAAGGAACACTTTGCACATGGAATGTGCCGAAGGTCATTACACAAAGATTATCCTCACCTTTTGGTGCTGTTTTCTTTGGAACACCGAATTCAGAATCCGAGTCAGAGTTCACAGACTCTACTTTCTTCTGTTTGGGGGCCCTCTTGGGCTTAGGGGCTGTATCTGAAGACGGTCTTCCTATTAAACAAATATCCATTTCACAGATCAATATAATATACTCAGCAACAGCCCAAGCTGAACGGAACCCCATAATGACGGGCGTTCTCACTGATGTGGAGCTGAGCGACCTTAGGTGATGAAATGGTTTCTCTCATCTGCTGCCAGTGCAAGGCAAATAACTGCTCATAGGGGACAAAATGCTTTCTATTATACGTAACTTGCCTTTTGATAATTCAAGTGACGTTTTAAACCAGGGCCATTAAAATGAGTGAATGAAGGCGAGAATAGGTCACCCCCATCCTCCTGAGCCGGAGCCTCAGGGCGGGTGGATGCCGGCTGTGCTGGCCTTTAGTTAACACTGAACTCTTGTTGGGTTTCACAGGAGTGAACAGCTTGAGGAAGGAAACAGGCTGATCACTGGGAGGGGAACTGGCTCCACGTGTTCAGGGTTGCTCTCAGATGTTCCATCAAGACAGGATGCTCGCAAGGAAGCTGAGGGCCTGTCTCGGTCTCAGCGCCCCAGAAGCCCCCTGACCCTCACGCACACTGCAGTTAGGGCTGTCTGGGAGGCGATGAGGGCAGCTGGGAACGGGTAGGGTGTGGAGCCTGGCATCACTGAACGGTTAACCGCACGAGAAATCTGACAGCCAGTATGAAACCAGAGTGAGCTAGCCTGAGGGCAGGAGCCCTGAGACCCGCGCCACCAGCCCGCCCCGCGACCAGTGTCCGGGCACAGCAGCGCCGGAGGAGCGTCCTCCCGTGAAGAACTAGAGCCGAGGGCAAGTGGGCGAGAGGCCCGTTGGCCAGACGACTTCTCACCGCGGTCCTGGTGT